AAGAAGGGAAAGGAAAAATGATGAGAAATGGAAAAAATGGAAACAAAGTCTTTGTAAATAGGGAAGGGTGGAGGGGGTGAAGGGAGGGCAGGGAACGGGGAAAAAATAAGGACCAAGATGCATCATGTAAAGGTACAAGTTCCTAATGAGAAATGTAAGTGTACTGTATACCTAAAATGTACCAATAAAAGAATTTAAGGAAAAAAAAGAATTATCAGACAAAGATATTAAAGCAGCTATTAATTCTCCATGAGACAAGGAAAAACATGCTTAAATTAATAAAAAGATAGAAAACCCAGAAGAAAAATATAAAAATAAATTTTCCATATACAGGAAATAGACACTATAAAACCAAATATTAAAATAGAAACAGAAGTCAGAAAAAATCATAAAATGAAAATTTTAAAACTGAAAATAGAACATCTGAAAAATTCTCAATAGCAAAATGCAAATGATAGACAAAAGAGTCAATGAACAGGTGTATAGATCAACAAAAATCATTGAATTATTTTTTTAAATGAATAGAGGCCCAGGGATTTAGCTCAGTGGCACTGCACCTGCCTTGCAAGCTCAAGGTCCTAAGTTTGGTCCTCCAGCACCAGAAAAAAAAATGAATATAGCCCCTAGGTACATGTAGAATAATATCCAAAGAGCACAAGTCTAATCAGAAGCAACTCTTAGAAGCATGAAGAACAAGGTTTACTGTAGAGTTCTCATCAGAGGTCAAAAGTCAATAGAACAACATCTCTAAAATGTTGGGAAGGAAAATCTTCCAACCCCAAATTCCATGTCCAATCAAAACATCATGACATGGAAAATGAAAAATCTAAGCAAAGTCCTGGCCAACAATCTTAACAGCAAGAAATGGTAAAGGAAGCTCTTGAAGCTAATGAGAAATTATGTAAGAGAGAAACTGGGATCGTCAATATGAAAGGGCACAGTAAAATTGGTGAATAGCTGGGTTAATATAAAGGACCATCCTTTTCCTCCTAAGAAATTTAAAATGCTTTTTAAATTTTACCTTTTAAAGTAAAGGTTATAGTAAACTAAGAAAGTCATGAAGTTAGAGAGAACTATGTCACTACAATATTTTTATAGATGTCTTGTATAAAAAGCACAACAGTAATTAAGTACCCTTGAAATATTTAAATTATATTGTAATACATAGAGCAACAACTAAAAACACAATACAAAACATAACCAAAAATAATAAATCGGTTAAAATAGAAGTTGAAAAGATGTCCAAGAAATAAGCCTTAGGCACACCAACAAAAAAGATCCGGAAAAAAAGTGAATATAAAACTAGGTTTACATGTCAATTTAAAAAAAAAACAGAGAATGATATATCAAAGAGGAGGAATTGGTCAGCTTTCTCAAATGTGAATGACAGATTTAGGTAAATGAAATCTAAGAAATAACTGATAGATTTAATAATGAGAGGTTCCTTGGTGATGTTTGGATTAGCAGTTTCAAAAGAATGGTGAGACAACCTGACTGCAGTGGGCTCAAGACAATGAGGAGAAGGCTGAGTGTGGTGGCCATGCCTAAATCCCAAGCACTCAGGAGGCTGAGGCAGGAGGGTCACCATGAGCTCAAGGCCAGCCTGGGCTACCTAGTGATTTCAAGGCCACCCTGGACTGCATACCATGACTCTGTCTAAAAAAAAAAAAAAAGCAATGTAGGGAGAGAAATGGGAAATTGTGAGTATAAAATTTCTGACATGTTTTGCTATCAAGAGAAGGGAGGAAAAGGAGCTTGAAAGAAAAGTAAGAACACAAGTTATTTATTTTTAATATGAGTGTTGTGGGGTTTTTTTTAACATTTCTTGAAATTTATCCTCTTTAGTAGGGTCGAGGATTTAGCTCAGTGGTTCCGCTGCCTGCCTCGCAAGTGCAAGGTCCTGAGTTTGATCCCTGGTACCAAAAAACAAAAAATAAAAATAAAAATAAAATTCTCTTAAAGAAGGAGCTTGAAGAGTAGGAAGGTAGACAGGTGTAGTGGCACTCCTGGAATCCCAATACTTGGGAGGCTGAGGCAGGAGGATCACTATGAGTTCAAGGTCAGCCTAGGCTACATAGCAAATTCAGAGCCAGGCTGAACTACACAGTGAGACCCTGTCTCAAATAAATAGAATAGAATAGAATAGAATAGAATAGAATAGAATAGAATAGAATAGAATAGAATATAGAGAATTATTCCCTTTAGTAATTTTGCTTCTTTTGCTCATTTTTCTGTAGCTGTTTCCTTTTCTTCTGCTCCTCTCTCCCTCACCCAGAGTCACATAGGTTGGCCCTTGCCTTTAACCATAATCATCCAGCCTACACTTTGGTTCATCCTATCTTTTAACTACCACCTTCATTCTAATGATTTCCTGAACTTCTTCATGTCTGATAACTCCCTCTAATATTTCAAAAATAATCTTCCCTCCCCAAACCACGTCCCCACCAACCAATCTTCCTAGTGATACCTGCTTTCTACTGCCTCAAAAAGGTGTAATCTTAAATTCATTCCTCTTGCCACATATTTTTACTCATGGAAGAGAAACAAGCCTATCTTAATCTTAATAGGACTATCTTAATCTTTGGTAGTTCTTGCCTACTAACTGCATTCTGCATAATTTGCTACGAATTTTCCTTTGATATATCTCTTAGGTCAACAACTCTCAATACAAATCTAAATTTCTACACCTGACTTTGAATTTCTCTATTATCTGCATCCACTATCTACACATGAGTACCCAATGTATTTTCTCATTGCATTATCATTAATTACCAACATCCTGCCTTTGCTCATGCTACTTACTAACAGAGCCAAAAATGCTCTCTGTTCTCCTTCTACCCTTTTATAAATCTTACCATCTTTCAAGACCCAGCTTAAGTTTGAATATCTTGACAAAATCTTTGTGGACAATTCCAGAGATCACTGAGCTTCTTATATTCCTTACAGCTTATGATGCCCCATAATTCATTATTTAGCTTCTACATTGGTATCTTGGTATAAGTTTCATGTGAGTTAGTGCTGTTGCCCTAATTACATAGATTACAAGCTAGGCACATAGCAAGAAGACTCATTATAGTGTAATTGTTTAATTGATTGGATTTATTCATGTTTAAAATATGGTGAGAATGACCCTCATTACTACAGTTCACTCTAATACAGTAAAACAAAAATGTATTTATAAGAAACAATTCTCATGCCCCATCACCAACAATACCCATCCCTGAATGTGAAATTTGCACAAGGAAAAGCCAACTACATTAAACTTTGTTGCACGGCACATCCTCTGTACATGAGACACAGGGCTATTTGGTTCTAACAGAATAAAATTTCAAGTTTAGACCAGAACACTAGATGCACTTTGTCATTGCAACTTCTCAATTCAAAATAGCTTACAGTAGTCATTTCGAAGGCCAGTAAGATGAATCTTCACCTCTGGTTGGCATATGGGATAGTTCACATCTCTGAACTTTTTAAGATGGAAGGATTCATTTCTGACTCCATCTCTGCAGCCTACAAGAAACAGTTTACATATCTCTATGATTCAGAAAATATAATATTTATTCTTATGAATACTACAATATCACGGAGCAAAAAAGAAAATAGTCATTATAAGAGTGCAGTACAAACAATAAGGAAGGAAAGGAAATAAAGAGGACTTCAGTATTAAACAATATCAAAAATTATTCAGTGGCAGTTTCTAATTAAAAGTGCATGAGTGTTAGACCTAAACATAGATGACAGGCCTTATGGGGAACACACAGAGCTATTACATTATGCTTTGAATATTTATTCAGTCATTTGAGATTTTAAAATCAAAGTGAGTTTTACATATCTGTATCTCCATCACATGTACTCATACCTTATAGACTTAAGGCTTATTCTGAGTCTTTGTCAATAAATACTTGGTTCATTGATTCTAGCTTTTTCTCTCATTATTTGTGTACCAAAGCACATCAAGTTACTACTTCTGGTTAATTTTATTCATGACTATCTGAGATCAGAATCATATCTTTTGTTTTAAGTTCTCACCAAAAGACTCCACTAAGTCCAAACCATAGGCCACTGTCTTTTCATCACCAACCCACTTAGTTTATGATCAAACTGATAATGATAATAATTGTCAGAAAACAAGAGAATTTAGGTGATTGTGATCTCCGTGACCAAATGGTTTCTGATAAAACATGAGAGTGTCATACAATATTCTATTAAGAAACCAAATTGTTACTCATAAATTCCTGTCTCAGTGTTAGCAATGAACACCTGCAGTTCTGGACAGAACTACAAGCTTACTAGAAATATGCAGGTCTACTAATAAAGTATCATGAAATTTTTTGTTTTAAGTCAATACCCAAGGAATCAAAAAAACCCTCCTAGACTTAACTAAGGTTGGAAGATATATATGGTTAATATATAAAATTCAGTTTCATTCTTTTATATCAGCAATTAACAACTAAAATTTGAAATTTAAAAATACCTTTTATAATAGTACCCAAAATGTAAAATACTTGAGTATTAAATCTCAAAAATATGTATAAGATATATATGAAGAAAACTAAATACTCTGAAGATATCAAAGAAGATCTAACTATATGGACAGATATTTCCATGTACAAGGATAGAAAAGCTCAATATTATTAAAGTATCAGTTCTTCCCAATTTGATATATGAATTCAACACACTCCCAATCAAAAGCCCAGCAAATTATTTTGTGGACACTGACAAACCAATTGTAAAGGTTATACTGAGATGCACAGACCCAAAATAAGCAACCCAATATTGAAACAGAAGGACAAATATAAAAGATTGTCACTATTCAACTTCAAGACTTACTATAAAGCTACACTAGGGGCTGGGGATTTAGCTCAGTGGTTCCACTGCCTGCCTCACAAGCAGAAGGACCCGAGTTTGATCCCCAGTACCAAAAAAAAAAAAGATACACTAATCATGACGTTGCACTATTGGCAAGAGAATAAACAAATAGATCAATGGAACAGAATAGAAAACCTACAAATAGACCCAGTCAAATATAGTCAACTGATTATTATTGACAAACAGGCAAAGTCAATACAATAGATAAAACATAATTTCTTCAACAATGGTGCCAGCATAACTGGATATCTACATGTGAAAAAATTAATCTAAACACAGACCCTACCTCTTCACAAAAATTAATTCAAAATAGATCATAGACATATACTATAAATCTCCTAGAAAACAACATAGAAGAAAACCTTCATGAACAGGGTTTAGCTGTAAACTTTTAGATATAACACCAAAAGCACAATCCATGAAAGAAATAATTGATAAGCTGGACTTCACTCAAATTAAAAACTTCTGCTCTATAAAGACAATGAGAAGACAAGCCACAGAGCAAAGGAAAATATTTGCAAAAGACATTTTCGATAAAAGGCTGCTTTTCAAAATATACAAAGAAGCATTTAAGCTCTTAAAATTTAACAATAAGAAAGTGAACAACCACATTTTGAAATGGGCAAAAGATCTGGACAATTCACCAAAGAAGATACAGTGATGGCACATGAATCATATGAAAAGATACCCATTAGGGAATTGCAAGGCGAAATAAGATAACACTATGTTAGTATCAGAATAGCCAAAATCCGAAACATTGACAGCAAATACTATAAAGATGTGGAGCACAGAAACATTCATTGCTACTGGAATGCAAAATGGTAGTCACTTTGGAAGCTACCTTGGCACTTCCCTTAGAAAACTAAATATACTTTTATTGTACAATCCAGCAATTATGCTCTTTGCTTTTCACTGCTCTTTGCTTTTTACTTAAATGAGTTGAAAACTGATGTCCACATAAAAATCCTGAACATGTACCAGGTATGTTGGCACATACCTATAATCCCAACACTCTAGAAGGCTGAGACAAACCCAAGTTTGAGCCCAGTCTTGGGAAATTAGCAATTTAGTAGGACTCTGTCTCAAATAAAGGGACGAGGATGTAGCTCAGTGAGAAGGCTCTGGGTTTAATTCCCAGTACTGGAAAAAAACAACATGTTTAGTGTTTATAACAGGTTTATTCATAACATCTTTTATTCCAAAACTTGAAAGAAACCAAGATGTCCTTCAGGAGGTGAATGGATAAAATCTGGTACCACCAGATATAGACAAGGTGTGATTGGAAGATACAGTAAATGCTTAAATTTTTTAAAATGTATTACAGAAAAAGATACATTGCCATTCATTCCCCTCAAGACCCCCCTCATTTAAAACACCCCAATTGCCCAACAACTGGTGACTGGATAAAGAAGATGTGGGGTTTTTTATAAAATGGAGTACTACTCAGCCATAAAGAATGAGGAACTAGAGACATTTATAGCTAAATGAATGTACATTGAGGCCATACTCTTAAGTGAAATAAATAGAACATACCTGTGTAAAAACTGAATAGTTTCTCTGGTGTGAGAAACTGAGAGTGTAAATAAGGATCAAAATATATAATAGATAATTTGAAATAGGAAGAAAAGGTCCAAAGGGGAAGGGGAAATAGGAGAGGTAGGGGAAAGGAAACAAGGGAAAGGAATAAATATGAAAAAAGGAAAAAACAGAAACAAGTCTTTGTAAATAGGGAGAGCTGGAGGGGTTGAAGAGAGGGCAGGGGAATAGGGAAAAAATAAGAACCAAGATATATCATGTAAAGGTATAGATTTCCAATGATGAATGTCATCATATTGTATACCTAAAATGTACCAATAAAATTAATGAATTAAAAAAAACACCTATCTCACATTCTTGCCACTTTCTGAAGCAGTTCTGAAGTCCTCCTTCATGAATGTCTTTAGTTGTGTTGTCATGGCTACCTCATGTCCTAGTTTGATTCAAAATGTTTACCTTTCATTGTCATTTTGACTTTGGAAAGAGCCAGAAGCAACATGATGCCAGACCTGGTGAATAAAGTGGATAAAGATACATCATAAAATTTTTGCAAGTCTGCATTTCCCTCGAATACCACTTGGAATCAGTACTCACCACAGTTTTTTTATCATACCTTGTAAAGACAGTCATGAAAAAGGACTTGCAGAACTGCTTCACAGAGTGACAGGAATGATGGGATGAGTGTATTTGATGAAAGGGGGGAGTACTCTGAGAGAGATTAACACCAATGTGTTATTTACTGTAATAATTGTTTTAATTTAAATATTCACCTTATATTTTCATCACGCCACATAACTGTTATTCAGCACTGAACACAAATGAGTTTTCAAGACATGAAAAAGCATGAGGGAAATTTGAATGCATATTACTAAATGAAATAAGCCAATCTGACAAGGTTAAATATTGAATGATTCCAACTATACAACATCATAGAAAAAGAAAACCTATGAATGCAATAAAAGGTTGGCAAGGGAAAAGGAAGAATTAATAGGCAAAGCACAGGATTTTTAGGACAGTGAAACTATTCTGTATAATCCTGGAATGGTGAGTGCATGTCATTATTTATTTGTCCAAATTCATAAAATATTTTAAAATCCATAAAATGAACTCATGTAATGAATTAATATCTTCAAAATTCTGAGTGGAACTAGAATTTATAGCCAAATTTTGAATCATGTATAAAACCAGAAAGACATTTTCAGAAATAGTGGCTCTAACATCAGGGAAGTCCCAGGATGACAACTGTACAACTAGAACAGCTTGTTTAGCAGGCTTATAGGGCGGTCACCAAAGAAAAGAGGAAATTAAAGAGCGAGCACATGGAAAATGTTATCATTAGCTGTGGAACAAAGCATTGGCATATTTAGGGGAAACATTAACAGTTTCTTGGGCATGTTATACTAGATGGTTATACTAGAAAAGAACATTTACAGTGGCCATGTGGCTCAGTGGTAAATACAGTTGTATAGTAATGTTATATAAACACTATTTGAATTTTTCTTTTTTAAAGTATGCTATAACCATGTCCAGGGACTGCAGAAACAATGAAGCAGAAGGAAAACTAAGTTCTTATCTACTAAACTTGTAAGTCATGATTAAGTCGAAAATTTTAAGAAATAGTTTACCAATATTATATAGAAAATAGATATAATATCAGGGGGAGTAGCTGGAAGAGCTAAGAGTGGTTGGCTCTAGAAAAGAGGACTTGGAGATGGAACTAGTTAGGGCAGAGGATTATGAAAATTGTCCAAATCTGAATATCGTGTTTATTTAGTCTAAGAATATAAATAGTAATATATTTTAAAGTAAGGAAGAAATGAAGGAGGCAGGGAGAAGAGGGTAGGAAAGAAGGTTAAATAGAAAACCTTTGCCCCATACCTTCCCAAATACATTGTGATTCCTCACAAAGCTGCATTTTCCCATTAATTTGCTGGATCACCTTCTGGGCTGAAAATAGCTCATTTAGGCAGTTCTGAAAATAAATACATATAAAGAGAATGCTTCTTTAGAAACATATATGTACATCTCAAATGTGATGCATGATAAAGAGTTACACCTGAAAATTTACTAGGAAGTTTAAAGATTCCACAATATCAAAGCCAACACCACAATAATAGCTGTGATTTATTAATCACTGTGTAAAGAACAGTGGTAAACATTTTGTCTACATTATTTACAATCCTCTCAACAATTCTATACAGCAGGTATTACTTAGCTAAACTAAAATCCTATTATTCTTCTAGCCTAAAATTCTATTAGCCAACCACAGGCTATGGACATCACTCACTAGAAATGGGGACAGCAAGTCACAGAAATCTCAAGTAGCTTGGCTCAATTTCCACATGAACAGAAATATGATTGCTGTCTCAAATGGGCCAGTAGTTAAAGTACACTTCTGACATTCTGTCATCAACTTTGATCAAAACCAGCTGGAAAAATAAAGGGAAAGAAAAGTTCCTATTGGAATTTCCCAAAAGCACTGGTGTATAGGTAAGGCAGACAAGATTCTTTTTCCTTCATTCATTCATAACAATGTACAGTACTTAATTTTATGTATATGGCAATCATTGGATCTCCAAAGACCACACAGTGTTTCTTTGATGGCATTGTTTTAGTATTTTGGTTTCTCCCTCAATGTTATGGCACATTATAAACATTGCCTGCCAATGAATCATGCTTTTTATGTATTTAAAACAGAAAAGATAACTATAAAGCAAAGTTTCTTGATCAAAGTTTCCAGAGCAAAACTCCCTGTTGGCACTTTGGGACAGAAAATTCATTGTCAGGAGAGCTGTCCTGTGCACTATAGAATGCTTAGCAGCATCTCTGGATTTACGTACTAGCTGCCCTTCTGACTGTGACAACCAAAAAGATTTTCAGACACTGCCAAATGTACCCTGGGGTACAAAAATCACCCTCAGTTGCCTGGGGATTTAGCTCAGTGGTTCTACCGCCTGCTTCACAAACACAGGGTCCCAAGTTCGATTCCCAGTGCCAAACAAAAAAAAATTATCCTCAGTTGAAAACCACTGGTATAAAATAACTTTTTTTAAATGGCCTGCTGATCAGTAGTTCAATTTTACTCTCTACAGGTTCACTTCTTCAGAGTCCTGCAGAATCCCACAAAGCTGAATAAAGCACTGTCCAGTACATGCTTTACTCTACATACCCAGGGATGCTTTTTTCTAGATGAGATCTACTTGTTACTTTAATTAGCATCTCAGCACAGAGATCACTGAATATGAATTCTGAAAGTTTCCACAGGTCTCCAAGCCCATACTGTGGAAATACTCTCCAGATGAGTGGTGAGGGCCAATGAAGACCACAGGGCTTTATATAAAAGCATCTCCATCTCTTTCAGTGCTTCTTGATGTCTAGCTATGGCAACAGGTGCTCTGTATAAAGTAGTAAAACAGTTTCCATTACCCCCTTCCAGGGCCATTCAGTGATAACTGGATAATGTTCTATCTGTGTAACAATTGCTTTAAGTGATATCTTGTAATCCCATAGAGAGAGCCACCAACCTTGCTGCTACCAGTTACCAGAGAAGACAAGGGGAAGGAAAAGGGAAGTCCCCAGCATTAGGGCAGTGAAAACTCTAATCAGCAGTAGGGGGCGGGAAAAAAGTAGGGGGTGTTAGTAACCTTGCCCAGGGATGAGGCAAACTACACTCTTAATTATCTTAGTAGAATTCCCTAGTGACCCCTAACCCTAAATCCACACCCAAGAAGGCACTAACAAAAGACTTGTTGCAATACATTTGTTTCCACTTGTGTAGGAGTTCAATAATTTGAATTTACACTTATAATATCTGATTGTTTCTCTAGAAAAGTATATAAAGCAACCCTGATGGAGGTACACACTAAAAGAATAATATAGCCTAAACTGAGAATTTATGACTTTCCTAGTTAAAAGGTTTTAAAATGAAACATTGATTTCTTCAGACACTCTTCATTAAATCTGGTAAATCTGAAAACATGCTATTGGTATAATGTGCTCAAAATACTTAAGAGTATACTCCTAAGGTCTTAAAATGATAATAAGAGATACCTAAAAGAATGAATGAACTTAAGCAAGAGACAAACAAGAACAAAGACTTAAGGAAAATATCCAGAAGACCATCTCTTAGAGAAAGAATTGAATTTATTCTGAGAGGTCCTGAAAGGCAGTCCTACTTACCGTCTGAGTTAGAAATGAACTCCGTAGAAACAGAGCTCTTGGCTGAAAGGAAGCATACACAGTGTGTAATTTTGTTGTCCTTTTTTATCTTTACTTCTTTAATGATTATTATCATTTTTTACTTTTTGATTGGTCCTTACAATATTTTCTTATGTATTTGGGGGATTATTTTTTCCTTTTTTTGTTTTGTTTTGTTTTGTTTTTGGTACCAGGGATTAAACTCGGGTCCTTGCACATGCGCAGCAGGCGGTAAAACCACTGAGCTAAATCCCCGGTTCTATTTTTCCCTTTTTAAAGAACTTCTATTCATGTCCTTCACTTGCTTGGGTTTTTGGTTGTTTTGTTTTTGCTTTATTTTTATTTTCTTTGTCGAGAATCCATCATTTCCTACTGATTTGTAAGAGTAGCTAAGCAGCTCTCTCCTGACATTTGGAACTCAGTTGTCTGAAGTTTTCAAGAGGTAGCATCTTCAGTTTTTTCTCTTTGCCTACCTGGGCTTTGGAGGCAACATTTTCCTTCCCACCTCTTTCCAGTGCACGAGATGCCTTGCAAAAATGGAGAGCAGAGTTACTTGTTTGAGAACTGCCTTTGACAGGGGTCTTCAGTGGTTCTTTGTAAGATCCTACAAGAGAGACATTTAGCTTTGAATTTGGATTTTAAAACAAGATAATCACTTTGATTAGAGGTCTGGTCATGGCATCTTTCACAGCAGGACAGAATGTGATGGTCTAAGCTCTTGTATCAAATCCCAGGAAGGGAGTGGGAAGAAGGGAGAGAGATGAGGCCTTATTCAGGATGCTGGGTTCATAAATGAATACTCAAGAGAAATTGCCTTGGTGGCCTCTACGACAGGGAGGAAATGCCAGGATTAAAGACCTGACTCTACCCATAGTCACAACAAAGGAAATGCTTTACCTCTGGGTGGCAAAAACAGATTTGCACATTTGGAGAATGGACAAAAACAGTTCACCAGTTTAGAATGATGATGCAGGGCCAGGGATTTAGCTCAGTGGTTCTGCCGCCTGCCTCCAAAGCGCAAGGTCCCAAGTTCAATCCCCAGTACCAAAAAAAAAAAAAATGATGGTGCAAAGAGTAGCTGGTTTGCCCAAGCTATGATCATCCTGCCAGGAAATCACCATGGGATGCTTGCTAGTTATTAACATCACTACGTGATGATGAGCATATCACTTTGCCTCTCACCCTTCCTCTTGTGGAAAGATGTTATAAAATTAGCTTGAGATTGCATCAGTGGAGTATTTTCTAAGCTAAAGTAACAGTCAATGTTATTTACATCAATGTTTTTTCAGATTCTCTTCTCAAAATTGAGAAATCATTCTATTAGACTTTTAACTGTCCTGGAAATCTGTCAAGTCATCCTCTACAACTAAGTATCTGCCATATCACATTCATCAGAGAGATCAAGAAGTCCTCTGCCACAAGAGAATCCCCTCTATATTTGCCATGGACTTAGTAAATCTCCCTACACTACCTAAAATTTTGTTCCTCAAGTCCTAGGATTCAAAATCTAAGATAAATATATTACATTAAAGGAGGAAGGGTGATGAAAACATGAAATGTTCCTCAAAGTTTTAGATCTTGCTCTTGTCCTGAGAAATTATACATGATTGCTTTGTATGTATGGAAGAAAATAGAGCAGAAGAGGCCAGCTCTCAGAACCTCAAGTGAGAAAAGAAAACCTGTGCTTGGATGCAAGTATTGACAGTCAATCCATTTATAAACAGAGGTCAGAGCCAGGCATAACGGTGCATGTCTATAATCCCAGCTCCTCAAGAGATTGAGCAGGAGGATCTCAAGTTCAACAATAGACTGGGCAATTCAGCAAGACCTTCTCTCAAAATTGAATTTTTGAAAGGGCTGGGGATTCAGCTCAATGGCAGAGTACATGTGCCTAGCACATGTGAAACCCTGGGTTCAACCCTCAGTACCACAAAATAAATCAAAAACAAAGTGGTAGGGGCTACTAGGCTAAGAACGCAGAGACTTCTCAGGTTTTGTGGGCAGAACACGACTGCAAATGAACATCTATAGATGTCCCCTTTGGGATGGAAGGATGTTCAGTATTCACTGTTATGAAACAGGAAGAAAACCCACCAGCAAAAGCACTGCGAAACCAGTGTATCTAGTTAATGCCTGGTATTAAGTAGAAAGTAAAATGGATTTTCTTGTAAAATCGTTTTGACTAATAATCGATCTCTTGAAATTTTGAATTTCTCACACAATGCTTAACTAGGAAACAATCAATAATTCAGGGTCCAGAAAGGAAAAGGAAGCCCTTAACTTTAGCCAAATATCCTCCCAATTACAATTGAACACAAAAGACAGTTATAACAGTGATTTTTTTTTTTTTTTGGTACCAAGGATTGAACTTGGGACCTTGCCCTTGCGAGGCAGGTGGCGACACCACTGAGCTAAATCCCTGGCCCTATACCAGTGATCTTTCTTACAATCCTGTATCTCCTAAACTGTAGATAGTGGATGTCAGTGTTGAAACTTGTCATTGCATGAGAATTTCATTGGTTTGAAGAGATTTGAGCTCCCTTGTAATCTGCAGAACTACAATACTTCCCTAAGAAGAGTTGGCTCTATTTATAATATTTATCTTAGTAAACATACTGATGGTTAAAAATTTACAGTATATTCCCTGGGATTTCAAAAGGGAAAGACAGGAATTAAATCAGCAGATGACAGGTAGAGAATTTTGCTTCTGCAGGCTGTGCCCAAAGGAGAGTACATATCTTAGAAAGTGTTTTAGGAGTCTGATAGGTGGATCATGAACCCTGTCTGTCACACTGGGGGTTCTGGTACCCATTCGCCTTCACCCATCCAAGTCCCAGCAGGCGTGAGATTATATCTCTCTCATCCATCTTTCCCTCTTTCCCTCTCCTCAGTTTTCTTATCCCTCACTCCTTCCCTCCTTCCACCCTTCTCTCTCTCTTTTCTTTTATTTTCTCTTCCACTCATCCTCTCTGCTTTCATCTTTTTCTTATCCAATTTCACACCTGATTATAACAATACAAATGTATATCTTTTCTGACTGTCATAGACCAAGAACCTTACTAGAGTCATTAAATCCTGTAATTTGCAAAACAAAAGCATATATATTGTGCATATAGACATTTACATATACATATATGAATACATATAATTCTTGCGAAAGTATCACCATCTAGCCATACAAGACTCAGAACCATATTTAAAACATAACAAAGGGAGGGGAGGGGAACGAGGAAAAAAGAAAAATAAGATATATTATATATAGGTACAAATTCCCTATGGTGAATGTGATCATTACGTATACAAAAAGTATACTAATAAAATTAATTTTAAAAACAATAACATATTATGTGGCCAGGGGATGTACTCTGAGTCCTTACATAAGGAGCTGCAACACAATTTAGTAGATTAACTACTGTACCTGAGAGCCTAACTAGAAATATACTTGTGTAAGGGGGCATCAGGCAATCACAGCAGCAGCTCAATCAGTTAATCACAGGCCGCCAATTGATCAGATCATGTTCCAAAGAGGCAAAGGCTCATCTGTAACCAGTAAGCTCCTGTGGCTCACTTCATTTTCTGTCCATAAATGCTGCCTGCCCACCTTGCTGGTTGGAGCTCCCAGAACCTCTTCTGGCTCTGAGGACTGCCCATGTGCAAACAGTTCTTTACTCAACTGAACTGTTATAATTTTCTTTTAATACACACTTTCTTTTGGTTTTGCTTCATTAACACCTTACCTTGGAAAATTCTTATTCAAAGGGAAAGAAAGGGAAGAGCAGTTAACAACAACAACAACAGCAACAACAACAAAAAGCAATTAACTAAATATGACACTAGAGAGTTCTACAAGACAAAGATTGTCTTGGGAATACATCCTTTTTAACGTTTCAAAATTGGGCTCACCTAGAGTTAAGGTGCCTTTCTCAGGCATTATCTTCAGTACTGATCTCACAGATTCGGAGATGTCGGACTCATCAAAGGAATAGGCTTCCAAATCCCTGATTTGACTTTGCTGCCATCTTGTGGAAAGTGGGCTGCTGGCCACAGGAACTTCATCTGACAGCCTCTTTACAATGTTGCTCTTGAAGTTAGAGTATGGGGTGGTACCTGCATCAAATAACTGATTAACAACGAAGAGAGTTGTAATTTATAGTGGTTTCAATGATACCAATGTAAAAATTCCTTAAAAGAGAATTACATGTGGCTAATACAGCACAAAATATTTGTACATGAGATTTTTACTTTTCATGACCTTATAAATATTTTTTAAACATTAAATCACCATTACAAATTTTGAGCCTCTGCTCAAGTGTCCTTTGATGTACCAAAATAGTTTAAGAGTAATTATGTTTAAATTTAAAATATAACATGAAATAACACTATATTATGAAATTTAGGCTTTTTGTATCAATTTCCCACTTTTCAAAGTTTTTAGCTGATTCTAACTTGTAGTAGTAAGCAGAGAATTCTATAGGCCAGGTGACCTCTGTAATACTAGTCAAGTGGCCTTTATCTTTGCAGGTACCAAGAAATGGTGGAGCCACCAGATTTGAAGATATGTTTAATTCACAAAAATAAAGAAAAAAAACAGATAGAAGAAGGAGATGCTTGCTCAAATATTACCTTGGTATCCTAGAATTTAAATATACATAAAAAAAACAAAATAATCTTGAGTTTTAAAGAATGAAAACAAAGAAGAATAAATTTAATGACATGTCAACTGAGAAAAATGATCAAGAAATTTCACACTAACAATCACATTGCCTTTGCAGGCCTGTGTTCCTCTGGCTAGGCCATTGTCACTCTGTGCATCTGGAATATTCCCCTCTTGGGGTCTCTTAATAATCCTCTGCCAGGGTAACTCCTAGCCCACCTTCATTGCTGAGTTTACCAACAACTCCTTCAGGAAAGTGTCTCAGAAATCCCTTTGTCTTTGTTCCAAACTGGGTTTGGTAGCCTGTGTAGGCCAATTAATGGTCCCCACTGATATGCAGGTCCTAGTTCCTGGAACCTGTACATGTCAAAGGAGCAAAGGGGAAAGCGGTTTTGCAGGTGTAATTGAGTCAAGGGTTAACCTGCATCAAGATGGAGCGAGTATTCTGGATTATCTTGGGGAGCACACATATCCTTGTGAGAAAGGTAGAGGGAGATTTGACTGCACAGGAGGGACAATGGTAACACAATCACAGAGCAGCGACTGGAGTGCTAATCTCCATATAACCAGAAGCGCTGGCAGTCAGCAGGACCGGAAGCAGCAGGGCATAGATTCTCCCCAAGAGCCTCTGGAAGAAGAAAGACCCTGCTGATAGCTTGGCTTTGGCCCAAAGAAACTGATCTCAGACCTCTGGCCTCCATAGCCATAGGAGAATACATGTGTGTTTCAAGCCACCAAGTTTGTAGTAATTTTTTAGAGCAGCCATACTGCAATATACTGAACTAATGCACAACCTGTCCTGAATTTCACAGCTCACTGTGTGAAGAGCATCACAACAATGTACTAATAATAATATTTATCAAGAACTTAATGTGCCAAGCAATGAGATATATGAATTAGATAGATTACCTGAGTTTCATCATAATCCTATGAAGTAGGTACTACTATTACTCCCACTCTATAGAGTTGGAAAATGAAACTTTAAATAGAGTTCAATAACTTGAGCAAGGATTCAGAGGTAGGGAGCGGATCCAGGTTCAGGCCACTGAACAATAGATATATAGACATCATCTCTATGAGTGGCACCCTTTGGAATATGCAGTGCCTAACCTTCACAACCAGCCACAACAACCCTGTCAAGCTTTGAGCTCTACAAATCAGCTGAGTCCCTGTGCTTTAAACATCTGTGCTCACTGTCCACTTTTCTGCTTATTTTTATTTCTCTCCTCCTATATTACACACTCCTGAAGACCAGGGACTTTGTTTTCATCTTATTTTCCCAAGGGCATAGCACATTTATTGGCATCTAGGAACTCCATAATGAATAAATGAATGAATCTCTTTCCCTAGAGGCCATTAATGCCAAAAAGGCACAGGGATGCGAAAATGAACCCAGAGGCAAAGAAACAAGCTGCTTTCTTTTTTTCTCTGTTAAGAACAATTTTTATAATGGACAAGGTAAAACAAACATTTCCACAGAAACTAGAGAGTGATATAAATCAATCAATAAAAGTGCACCTGGACATTTTAAATAAGTCCAAGTCTCTCGGATGAGATAAATGACAGCCAAGAGTACTGACAACACTTCCAGAGCTGATATTGTTACTTGTCAGTGATCTATGGGGAAAAAAGACAAATAAGAAAAATGGCCTCCATAGGCAAATGTTTTCATGATTTCCAAATAGGAGGGGCAAGTAACTACAAATAAGTTTGTTGCCAACATCCTAGATTAAACAAGGTTTCCCAGATCTATGTTAGTCTGGTAAATCCCCCGTGGAGAACTGTAGGGTTTTCTCCCTGGCCTTCCTTATACTGCTCAGCTTGTTATCAGTGGCTTAAGTGGAAATTTACTTATTAAAGTTGTTGATTATTTTAAATTGAAAAAAGTTAAAATATTAATGAACAGAAATATGATTCAGAATTAAATCTGAGACAAGGATCAAAAGCAGAAAAATTAAATTCAAGATTTTTTTTCACTGAGGGCTGGGGATTTACCTCAGTGGCACCGCGCCTGCCTTGTAAGCGCAAGGTCCTAAGTTCAATCCCCGGTACCAAAAAAAAGATTTTTTTCATTATAGAGACAAAAGATAGAAGAGAAAAAAGAACTGACATGTAGTTGCACAACCACCACTAGGAGTCAACAGTATGATGAAACTAATAAAAAGTAATACAGTTCCAGGTTTCATTAAGTGAAAAAATAGTGTCCAGAATAGGAGAAAGTAAAATCCCATTGTGGGTTTTTTTGGGGGGCGGGGGGAGGTTTGGTACCAGGAATCAAACTTGGGACCTTGTGCTTGCAAGGCAGGCAATGGAACCACTGAGCTAAATCCCCAGCCCAGAATCCCATTGTTTCAAGACCGTCAGGACTAATCTGGAGAACTGGGTCCAGGCTCAGAACTGTTCTTTAAGAAGGGAGACAGGGAAGCCAGGATTCAAAGTCCAAGTTTATCTGGAAGAAAGGGACAGCAATGACAGAGGTCAAGGTAAGCAGTATAAGAGCAAAACACCCCAACATATGCCCTCCTTGAGTGAAATAACAGAACTCACAGTGTTTAGGAGAAAGAAGACTCAAAAGGAACTGTCTTCAAATGTTTGAAGGGATGTAATTTATGAAAAAAGTAAAGACTTACTTTGTATGACTCCCTATGACAAAACCAGAACCAGTGAATGGAGGAGACAAATTTTTATTCAATACAAGAACTTTCAAAGAGTTAGAGCACAATTTCTGTTAACACTGAAATTCTCAGTCCTTCCACTGGGAATCTATATGTATGCTTTGTGGTGGTACAGATAAACATTTTTAATAGTTATATATTTTAATGTAAATTTTAAATGTTTTAAATCTTTAATATTGATACAAAGTTTTACCTTATAAAATATTAATTTCTGTGAAATAAATTAATATATTCCAATAAATTGTTGAGTAAATAACAAGTAATATGCAAAAATCACAGAGGTAACATGCAAATGACTACAAGCTTTAAAAACTGCTATTTCATCTTCAATGTTTTTAAACTTTTGTTCCCAGATCTATCTCCTGCTGAGGAAATGCCTGTCGCATAGTTTTAAATGACTCAAGTATTTATTAATAGAGAGGAAGAGGAAGATAAGAAAAATAAGACAAAGAAGGGAAAAAGAATGAATGACTTGATACTCCAAGCACATCAGTTCAGTTTGTTTACTCTGAGAACTCACATCATATTGACACTATATTGGGAGGAATTCAGAGCACCAGAGCCAAAAAATAAATAGAAAGGAACTTGGAGAGGTTAAAAATAAGGTCAGGAAGTCACAAAATGAAACAACTGAGAAAAGAGAAATAAATATATCTAGTGATAAATAATGTGACATATAAATATTCAGTGGGTGGAGAGTCTTCCAAGAATCTTATGACAAAGACAAAAGTAATAAAAATGCTCCTGTGAGCAGGGGCTACCTCAAGGGACATCAGCACAGAGGGTTGAGCTGATTGCTTTGACTAAGGCTCTGAACTTGGGAAAAGGAAAAAGGACAAATATATTCACTGATAGCTGTTATGCTTTTGCCACCGCCCATGTATACGGGGAGATTTATCAAAATAGAGGGCTGTTGACCTCCGAAGGAAAGGAAATTAAAAACAAGACTGAGATATTGGCATTGCTACAAGACATCTGGATGCCCCGAGAGGTTGCCATCATCCGTTGCCCTGGGCACCAAAAGGGGTCTAGCCCTGAGATAACTGGTAATAATGCTGCTGAGCGAGCAGCAAAGCAAGCTGCCCAAAAATCAGTGGGGAAGCAAATGGTTTTGCTACCCATGCCAATACTCCCAGAAAAACCTGAATACACAGATAAAGAGGGGGCAAAAATGAACGGGAACCACTGGACTCAAGGAAAACATGGATGGTGGATGACTAAGGTTGGAAAGGTGGTGCTCCCCACCGCTGTAGCAGACACATTGTTGCGCAAACTACATGAGTCCACCCACCTCGGCGAGAAAAGGATGATGGCTGCCCTGCGACCCCATTTCATCAGTGAGGGATTAGCCCAAAAGGCCCAGGACATGGTGAGACGATGCCCCACCTGCCTCAAGGTAAATACAAATCAGGTAACCGGGCCCCCCGGGGTCAGACACAGAGGACTAACTCCAGGAGAACATTGGGAATTGGACTTTACTGAAATGAAGCCTGGCATGTATGGGTACAAATACCTGCTAGTTTTTGTGGATACATTTTCAGGATGGGTAGAAGCATACCCTACTAAGAAGGAGACAGCTGAAGTAACAGTTAAAAAGCTCCTGACAAAAATAGTTCCCCATTTTGGCTTGCCCTTAGCTCTGGGGTCCAACAATGGTCCAGCCTTTACAGCTAAGATATCTAAATTAATTAGTAATATCCTTGGAATAAAGTGGAATCTACACTGTGCCTATAGGCCTCAAAGTTCAGGACAGGTAGAAAGAACAAATCAAACTTTAAAGGAGATTCTGAC